TCAGATATCGCGGGCTGGCGCGCCGCATGCGACGGCTGCGACGTGAACTAGTTTCGACGGATGCACGTAGTGATGTAGCGAGTATGTGAGAATAAAAGCATTAACTCGTACATAGGCCGGCTGCTAGCATTAATCTGAGTAGAAATTGAATGTGGCAGAACGTTCTGGAAGTGGACTGATCGTTTCTGAACATTTCCGTCATTTCATCCTTACCACTGAGTGAAACGAACAACTTCGATAGTCTGTGGAAGTTGTGTAACACATATATGTGCACACACCACTTCATATCTGGGCTTGCAAGGAGCAGCATACATCCAGCTGGAGGATGGGGACTATGTTGGCAGCGTTGGCAGCAGGGTTTGTTTTCGACACATTGAAGTTTCATATCACTTTGGTATAGGTGAGATACGAAGTTAAGTGGCTTCCAAGAGTGGTTCATTTTGATGTTATAATCGCAGTACCTTGCTGCTTCCTATTAACATCCAAGTGTTCTGGGAGCGTGATGCAGGTTTCACTCATCCTGGAAGGTAAGTTAAGATGCTTCTGTTGTAAATTAATGAATTGTGCATCACAGAAGGCGAGCTATTGCATAGCATGTGCTATACAAAAAAATCATATTCACCCAGTCAGAGGTTTCGATGCACTTGAAATTACAGAGGTATATAGCAGATTTACATAGCTAGAGGCAGGGAGCCGAATAGATAAGAGTGTAGGCTCACGTCTGCACTTGAAGGGAGTACGAGTTCGATCCCGTTGAGACAACTCCATGCCCTGCAAAAATGGTATCAGTACCAGCGTCAGACACAGATTGACAGGCTAGCTGGTGGAGAAAGCAGTCACAACAAATATGTCTAAAGTCTCAAAGAGTATCAGTGATAAAGCTAGGACGTCACCCGGAAGTGGCGCAGGACTCTCGCCCGAGTCCTGTGGATAGTATGCGAGGGCTTCCGAGGAGTGAACCATCTCGGCCAAAGAAATTATTTCGGACTGGAACTCTGAACGTGGGATCGCTCACTGGGAAGTCCCGAGAGGTCGCTGATCTAATGAAGTGCAGGAACATCCAAGTCCTTTGCCTTCAGGAGACCCGCCTGAAAGGATCAAAGGCCATAGAAATCGGAGGGGTAACAAGCTCTTCTTTAACGGATAGGACACCAAACGAAATAGCGTGGTCATAGTTGTGGCGAACTCCCTTAAAGACTGTGTCTACGCCGTCAACAGGAATAACAGTCAAATCACGGCTGTAAAGATAGACACAAAGGAGGGGTACTGGACAATAATATCCGTAAATGCCCCACCGGTCGGTGCCCCGTCGTCGAAAAGGATGAGTTCTATCTGAGCCTTGAGGAAGCCATCCGGTCAGTTTCGGAGGGGATTACATCATAGTAGCGGGGGATCTTGTCGGCCACGTTGGAGGTGAACGAAGGAGCTATGAGAGGATTCACGGTGGCAAAGGAATAGGTGTAAGGAACGAAGAAGGAGAAAGTATTCTCGATCTGGCCACAGCCCACGACCGGGCAGTGTGCAGCACCTTCATCGCAAAAAGGAAAACCCAGAAGATAAACTACAGCAGTATATGGAAAGAAACAGAAATAAATCATGTACTCGTGAGAAGGTCATCCCTCAACACTGCGAACGACATGAAAGTACTGCCTGGTGAAGACCTGGCTCCACAGCACAGACCTCTCCTAGCAGACATAGCCATCGACCCTACCAAGAAATCGAGGACAAGAACGGAACGGAGGATCCGATGGTGGAAGCTGAACCTAGTCGAAATAGAGCGCCTCAACGAGAAGATACTAGAAGCTGGACTTCGAGATCCCAAAGGACCGATCTAGCAGACAAGGAGCAACGCCGTGACGGTCATTCTACGATGTGCCAGGGAAACGCTGGGAGAAACTCGGGGTGGATTGCAAGGGGATAAAGAAGCCTGGTTCTGGAACGATGAAGTCCAGTGAGTTGTGAGGCAGTATAAATTGGCCTACAATCGCTGGCAGAAGACACGAGCTCCACAAGACATAGCTGCCTATTGAACTTCGAAGAGGGTCGCCGAGGCTGCCGACATAAATAAATGGATGCCTTGTATGAAAGGCTCGAGGGACGAGAAGGAGAAAAGTTCGTCTTCTGGCTGGCGAAATCGCGTCACCGGGCTACTCAAGACATCGGGGTAGTTAGGTCAGTAATGAACAGCGAGGATGCCAGAAGCCTGGCGAGGTCATGCGTAGGTCTAAGCAATACTTCAACAGGCCCCTTAACGAAGAATTCGCCCGCAAGTACAGCTCTCAATTAGAGGCAACGGCTGGCCCCACCAAACTCTGAACAGAGGATGAGGTGCGTAGAGCGATGGGAAAGATGAAGGTTGGAAAGGCAACTGGGCCAGATGGGGTACCGATCGAGGCACGGAAGGCCCTCGGAGAGCACGGGATAAGGTGGCTCACCCGATGTTTGAACACAGTGACCATCAAAGGACGAATCCCAGAGGCGCGGAGGAGCAGTAATATCGTTTCCATCTACAAGCAGAAGGGGATCACGATGGAGTGTTACAACTACCGGGGGATCAGGTTGACCGCTCATACGACGAAACTGTACGAGCGGCTGGTCGACTCAAGGTTGAGAGAATTGGTCCCGATCTCACAGGATCAGTTCGGCTTCATGTTTGAAAGATCTAGATCTGGCATGTTTATAGCCAGACAAGTTATGGAGACGTATCGAGAGGAGCGTAGACCCTACTACCTAGCCCTCCTCGATCAGGAGAAGGCATTCGATCGTCTCCCGCGACAAGTCCTTTGGAGAGCGCTACGAAAACGAAACGTTCCAGAACACATTATAGTCGAGGACAGCATGTACGATAGTTCCACGACAACAATACGCCCTTCACCGGCCAAACCGGAGCATATATTATCACTGTGAAACATCTGATAGCCTGAGCTCCTTTCTCTTCCTGCTCATGATGGACTTCATCACACAAAAACTCATGGATGGACCACTGAAGCCCATCCTCAGCGCTGATGACACCGCTCTGATAGCGGGAGACAAGGAAGAACTCCAGGACAATCTCCAGAAGTGGCAGAAAGTGCTGGCGGAGAATGGAGTCCGGCTGAAGTGAAGAAGACCATGTTCCTCAGCCCCGAGGATTGCATGGGTCAACCATCGAGGGTCACGGGGAAGTCATCGAAAAGGTCCAGCCAGGACTTCCGATACCTGAGGAGTGATCTAGCCGCTGATGGTAGCGTGGATCAGACGGTAAAAGCCCGAATAAACGCGGCATGGATGAAGTGGAGGGAGTCCTCCGGTATCCTCTGCGGCCGTCGGTGCTCCAGGACTCTCAAAGGAAAGCTGTATCGGGCAGCGGTAAGGCCCACGATGTCAGCGATTATTGGCGGGTGGGTAGAAAACATGGAAAACACTCTGCAGAAATGAAAATACTCAGGTGGGCCTGCGGCTGGACGCGACTGGATCGGATCAGAAATGAAGACGTCAGGACGGCAATGCAAACAGCCCCAGTTCAATTGAAGATGAGAGAGCAGCGCCTGTGTTGGTTCGGGCATGTACTGAGAAGGCCACAAAACCATCCAATAGGGGAGGCAATGGAGTTCGAAGCTATGGTAAGCGATCTCGAGCAGCCCCAACGAAGAATGGCGGGAAGTGATCAAGAAGGACCTCGCCGAAGCAAAAATAACGGCAGAAGATGCCATGGATCGACAGAAGTGGAGACGGTTGACAAGAACAGCGGACCCCGCGGCGGCGCGGGATTAATGCTAGGGAGAAGTAGAAGAAAATAGCAGATTTACATAGCTAGCTGGGTCCTGCTCATCATTTGGGACCCAACTTCCATGTTTTGTCTGGATCAGTAGAGTGTGCTAAGGCTGCGAAGCTTTCCACTTTATCGTACTTTCATTACCAACCAACAAGCATGCTGTTACGAGAGGGGAGTATCCGAAGAAGATTTCCGGTGAAAGCTCTTCATACTGGAATCCTTTACAAATCGGCTTAAGTGCCCGAATTCTACGAAGGCACAGTTTACGATTATTTTGGGCTATTCAGATTAAGACGAAAGATGGAAGAGAAAGTGGGAAAATAGTGCGATTAAGGCAAAGAAAGCACGTGAAACGGTGCTTCCGAAGTGTTAAAGGGTCTGGAAAAAACGTTTAGGGGGCTGAACGAGAATGAGACCAGAAAAATGAAGTAGAAGGGGTGTATGGACAGCCTCACGATTTGTATTGTTGCGTATGTGTGGGTCCTGGTACGAATAGCTGATCACAGTAGCAATGTCTTTCAAAATTCATCCACTCATAAGCATACGTTAACAAAAACACTATTAACAGCAAAAATAGCCCACTTTTCATCCTCTTCAACTAGAAAACTAGAAAAAGGCCTGCAGCAGCAAAAAGAGTAACGGAGAGCAATAGAATAGTAGGTAAACATCGCCTCATCACACTGCGATCAGCTGATTGTGTGCTGAACCTGTGGTTCCTTGCGCGAATATTGCAATTTGTATCGCCTTCAACACTCGTCTTACACGTCACTATTCGAGAGGCGGGGCGTCCGGTCGATCAGGTAACAGGGCTCCCGCTGTGCCCCAGCCTTTATGTTGTGTTTATGTTTATGTTTATTGCGCTGCAAGGCAAACGTAGTACATAATGATACCAACCCTTAGGAGCCTAATAAAAAGCGGAACAAATGCAAGGAACACGTTTAGGTAATACGTAATAATACAAAGAACGTAAAATTAGGCAAATAGTGCGACTTCTAGGTTGGATTCAAAGCAAAGGCGTAGGAGAAGTAGTCAACCACAAGGAACTATGAAAGTCCATGCTTAGATAAAATACTGCCACAGTGCGTTTGAACTTACAATTAGACAAGGAATCCAGATTCTTCACGTTTTCCTTATCTTTTTGTGGAGGCCAGCCGCTCTGAATGATAAACTTGTGACTAGTATACTGATTCTGGACCTAGGGAGATTTATTTTAGTCTGACCGCCTCTAGTTCAGGAGTGGGTCGTATCATAATAATCAAGGGAAACAAATGACTCGCTCTAGCACAACGTCTCGAAAACAAAACCTACATAAGTCGAATGCTTTGCCCCGTGATTCCACAGTAGAGGGTTCAAAATTTATTGCGAATAGATGCGCTAGAAATCCTAGAATAGAACGGCCTTCTACAGCAACTCCCGGCAAAGAATTTTAAGCGTAAAATTGTTGTACCTTCTCATGCGCTTCAACATCCCTTCTTTTGTGAGGATTGAACACAGAGGCACACTTTATTGGTTTTTTGGGCTCAACAGCGTCCTTTCTGTTACCGTTGTGAGCCACTGGGTACTCCTGAGGGAAATTCTAAGAGACCATTTCTATCGTGAAGTAAGTATGCCTCTAATAAGCGACCGCGAAAGAATCTCCCGTGAGTTTCTCACACGGCTAGTGCGAAAAATTTTAACTGATGGGAGAACCTATTTGAGAGTACTCATCATCATAATGGGTCTGGGCGTCACGGACATCGAGAAGTATCACCTGAATGAACTTTTGCATAAGTGGCTGCTAATATAGGGAACGAACTTTCTAGCAAGATCCCAGGCCCAACGCCTCACAAGTCAAGACAATGTATAGTGAACTTGCAAGTACCATCTCTATTGAAGAATAGCCCACCCTTCGCATTTCAAACTAACTCGACAAAGCGACTACAACTTTAGAAGTACACGGAGCGGAGTGTCCATGATACAGAGTATCGAATCTCCGCTCGTTCCTTTCTTTTGAGACTATGACAAGCCGACGTCGAATGCTCTTGTAGTAGCCGAGGTCGAATGCTCTTGTAGTTGACTCCTTCCGTGAGCGACTATAGAAAATTGTCGAGAAGAAAGTAAGGCATACGGGGAAGTAATAGCCGTATGCTGTTAATCAACAAGCTTTATCCTAAATTCCGTACTATTTGAACCATGCACATCGAAGAACATGTACAATGCAAAAATAATATCAGCCCAGCCTCTATTCGATCATGGCAATCATAACAGAACGTTCTGAACTTGAAGTCTCACTTGGGTGAAAATGGACGATCAAAAGTGTCAGCATTTTATCAATTCAGACAACATCTTGTGGTGGTTGATGGTCGCGACTCACTTCCCGCTTGCTGGATCTATGCGATGCCTCGTTGATGAAGGGCAAGAAGAACATCCAATGGTGACACTATTTTAATGAATGATCGGATCATGAAGTGTAGTTTTATCTAGTGAATGACTACGAAGCTTAGGGAAATCTTGGTTGTGATTTCTTTGCACTACCGCTCATTTCTGGGTTTAAATTACGCTTGTCGCTCACACCCACGGCAACACCGTGTCTAGTGGCTTACAGGAGGATTAGATGTTGCGGAAATGGGTGAGACTAGTAGAATTGATAAGTCTGCAATATTTGCTACCAGCTTGCCCCTACTATGTGAACAGCCTTCAATGTTCATAAAAAGTCTTTGGCCTCACACAGTTCCGTTTCTTGGATGTAGCATTAAACTACCATTCAGAATCGTACTGGTTTTTAAATACACATTCGGCCCATACCGTTACTTGCAGTTGCCAGTCAATCTGAAAGTCAGGGCGTTCATCCTCCCAGACAAGTCTGGTAGTTAAAACTGAACATCGAGAGGTGAAGGGCTTGGTTGCTCCGGGCGAGTACCGATCCAGTATTCGATGCCCGGAATTCCCACCAATCCGCATAGACTGCATTACATGGATAGCCCCCTTTCGTATTGCTTTTTGAACTATCCTATTAATCTTCCGTTCTGCTACCACTTTCCTCTTCGAAAAACGTACAAGAATTTGGTGATGACATATAAGACAGGTCATGCTTATTCTAGTACCCAAGCGCTTTCGAAGAAAGCAGTAGGATCGGTCACTTTATTCTTCGCTTTTCTGTTCGGATAATGCATACGCTTTGTTGCTCGCAGGATTGATGTCGTAGTTCGTCGATGACATCTGTGGGATCCTGCAATGTAGATAAAGGCAAAAACCAGATGAATAGTGAGCAAGGAGAGATAAGAAGGAAAATTATTCTGGAATTACGGATATTTTGTTTGTGGAAGCTGATCTTATGGTAGTGGTCACGGTAGACGACGATTTCTTAGACTCAAACGTTTTTGGTATTAAAGGGTGTCGGATCATTCTGCTCTGCTCTTTTCTCAACTGTTACCCCTGAGGTTTCGAAGCCTGTCGTCCAACACATTATTGTGTGAAGACGAAATAGAAGGAATCCACATTCCTCGTGATTATATTTATGATAATAATTGTTAAATCCTTTAGATCTCGTCAGAAGACTTTCCTTCATGTGAGGTATACTATTACTTCGAACGCAGAGGCGGTGAGGTTTTTGGGAAGCGGCTGAATTATGGAGGAGGAGATATTGTAAGAAATATCTTTCTTATACACTGATCTTGATTGTCTGTATGACACTCAGCTCTATGTTCTCTCAAGACAAACTGCACTAGAAAGGGAGAATAATTTCGGCGCTAGTAGTGGGCATCTCTTGGGTTGCAAACGATTTCGGCAGCACAAGGCGTTCAATCTTCTAGCCTACCCTAACAGTTTACGCAACACTTGTTATGCACACCCTGCGGAAGGGTAGGACAAGGGAACTAGTGGCTCCCAGCAGAAGCAAGTCTAGCTGCTCCACCACGTGAGCTCGGGAGTTCAAGAGAGAGTCCTTCTGTGGGATAGGGGCCCTACTCCGAAATTAATACTGTTCCGAAATAAATACAAGTCTAGAACTGCGCCTACACTAGATATTTATCTACAAGCAAGCAAGATGAAAGAAAGCAGTTAATAAAAACATACAGAATTATTGAAAGAAAATCAGACGACTAAACAAAATCAAATACAGGTTTATCTATACGTATAATCAGCAAAGTACTCACCTGTCCAGCAGAACTCGGCTTTGCATCCTCCCTAAACGGATCCTCACAACCTGGATCGTACCAGGAGCCTCTGTCTTCTGCTTTTCACGGCGACTACGAGGCGAGTTCTAGGAAGCTTGTGTGTGAGACCGTTCCTATTCGGGAGTAGGTAAACGTCGGGTAACGCTACGGCCGACGCTACGCTGCCTTCTTGACCCTGATTTCGCTTTCCCCTTGCCTTCAATTCCCCCTCAACTGTCTGAGCTATCAGATACTGGTAGCCGACGCCTACTGAAGTACGTGTTCTCCAGAGCGCGCTTGTGATCCAAAGAAGTGTCACTTACAGTAACTACGTAGATCCTCGAAATCACCCAGCAACCGATAGTCTCTGCTGGGTTTGGTCTTCATCGAAATTACTGAAGGAAGGCTTCAATTTCCGAGCAATTGTAAGACATACAATTACAACTTCTGTGCCTCGACCTACACGGTAACCCCGACCACCCTCCCTTATGGTTTTGAATGCACTAGACTCCTGAG